TTCAAATAAATGACCTTGACCCACTTTCAAGGTCACTGGGGTCCGATGTCTAAAAATCTTCAAACAACTTCTTCTCAATAACCAAAAGGGCCAGGGTACGGATATTGAGCCTCTAGCATGCTGGGATGAAGGGCTACTAAGTTTGTTCAAATGAATGACCTTGACCCACCTACAAGGTCACTGGGGTCAGATGTCTAAAAATCTTAAACAACTTCTTCTCAATAACCAAAAGGCCCATGGTACTGATATTGAACCTGTAGCATGCTGGGATGAAGGGTTACCAAATTTGTTAAAATGAACGATCTTGACCAACTTTCAAGGTCAAAGGGGTAAAATGTCTTAAAATCTTCAAACAACAACTTCTCAATAACCAAAAGGCCAAGGGTACTTATATTAGGCCTGTAGCATGCTTGGATGAAGGGCTACCAAGTTTGTTCAAATAAATGACCTTGATCCACTTTCAACCTGATGTCCTTGTTCGACATTCAAGGTCACAGGCGTCATATGTTTAAATCTTTTAATAGGTTCTTATGAATCAAACACTGATATTCTGCCTGTAACTGTATTTTAGTCCACTTTTAAGATTACAAGTGTGAGATTAATACCAGGTGAGCGATGCAGGCCCATTGGGCCTCTTGTTTCATTTAGCGAGGTAAAAAAATATTGTATTTGAAATTCTGAAGAAAACAATTTTTCTGACATCTTTAGAGTTAATTTAACCCATTCACCCCTGCAGACACATTTAATTTGAACTCTACCAATTCAAAGGTCGGAATAGATCATTATGAAATTTCAGGGGTGAATGTGTTAATACTATATCCTGCTGAGGAATTGAACTGTGTACATGTACAACTTTAACCAAGTGTTACAAAAGATCACAGTTCATCACTTTGAAGCTTTTTGTTTTTTCATTTTTTCACGTTCTCTGCACTGGCAGAAAACGATGTAAACTTCAAACTTGGAACGCATGTCAGTTTGACGTATCTTATTTACAAAGATGTTTTAAAAATCAAAGCAATGAAAAGATTAGGGTAAATTTGTACTACAGTGTATCATGACATTCTTAACGACTTAATTTGGAGCAGATTATACACTACAAGGTTTGAACTTAATTTTGAACCTACAAGCAATAATTTGCCTGTAGATTTGAAAGTTAAAAGCAAAACAAAATTTAAACAAGCAAAAAAAAATTGTCATGTAAGGAGGCAGTACCCAAATCAGATCACTACCCAAATCGGTTCACTTTTTGTCATATAAATTCTAAAGGTCATCTTAAAATGTTATTATGCTGACAAAAAAATATGCACTTGATGCGTAAGATACTGCAAATTTGTTTTCAAAGTTTTTAGCCGACACTTGAGCTAAAGACCTGTCTGATTCATTCTCTGTTGCCGATTTCCGTTTGAAAAAGTTAGTGATTTTAGGCCGAGATGACATTGATGCCCGATTCGATGGGTAGTCGAGTCTGCGAGGAACAATGCATCTGCATGTTTACTTGCAGTTCGTGCGACCTTGACATTGATCATAACGCGCTCGCGACTCCGACTATATATGTTAGCCAATCAGAATAGCGCTTAACTCAAATTCGGAAATCCCCTTCTTATTCTCAACGCACTTCGAACGGGAAGCGGGCTGGACACAATATTTCAGTAGTTCGGGAAATTTATTTGAGGACGCAAATATTTTCGTCCTTGAACCATATTCAAAACGCTTAAGTGTCAAGTATTAACGCATTTTGCGTATTAGCTTGTGTTAATTTCGAACTAGCAGCCGACAACTACACATGTTGATCTAGGCATATTTGATCACATACGATCGAAGAGCACCGCCGGAATTTAGCAAGTATTTTGGCTGCATATTTAAATGAAATAAATAAATAAAAAGCGATTACTTCACTGATAATAAAGAAAGTCGTGTTAAATATTTTTTTTTGGATTAAACTATCTTCTTTGTAATACCATATCACTTGGACATTTATCTACGGTAATTTCCGGGTTTTGACACCTGAAATGGTCAGAAAAACATGTTTTCTCTTTAAGGTAATAGGATTGTGTCGCCATTTCTCAGTAGAATTTCTTCAAATTTTGTAGTTATATTGCTTTAAAGTAAAGAAAATTTTCTGCCACAAAAAAAATATAGGTTGTCAGAATTTTAAGGATTTTAAATGGAAATTTATGTAAAAAGGAGTGAATTTTGAAAAAAAATGAGAGACACAATATTTTTACAAAATAATGTCAATAAAAATGATACTGACATATATTAGTATTGCATTAATGTATATCAATTTAATAAATGCTGAAATTGTGTAAAATTTATCCTCTATACACGAAATAAAAATTGACATTTTATAATAAAACCATATACACATAGTAATTGCAGGCAAGAGTTATCGTTCTTGAAAAACTTCACAGTAGTGAAATAGGTAGCCGGTTTCCAGAAGTACAGAAAAATGGACACATGTGACTCATTAATAAAAAAACACCTGAATTAATACCTGGATTGCTTTGAAATACTTTAATATTGAGAGAACACACTGTTCTGTCAATAATAAACATACAATATTCATCAGTTTAATATTAAACATTAGAATTTGCGGAAATTGTGATACTGTCTCCCTACATTGGATTTTCAACTAGGGCTGTACTTCCTGTTTCCGTTTATCAATACAATCCAATGACCTTAAGTCATGTTCCGGTTAATATCACATTTTTAACTGACACATCAGAAGTGATAATAAGCGAAATCTACTGTACAACTTCATTAGGAAAGAAGATGTTTTTGGCAGAGTCGATTAAGATCGAATTAAGATCTGCCTTGTTTATTTGGGAAACAACTCATGTTATATGACACCTGGTTAAAACCAGATCTGAGTTAAAAAGCGAAGCGGATTTGAGTTTAAAAGTGAGCTGGGAAGTAGAAGGTGTCTTCTTAATTTATAAACATGAATGTCCATTATGCAAATATAGTGCTACTATCAGACACTAATCTTCATTAAAAGTATGTTATCCTGCAATAAAAAGTAAAAAAAAAGTCTTATCTAATGATTTTCCGTAATTATATAGCTGTGAGATCGATGTAAAAAGCAGATATAAATTTTTGAATTATACGAGTTGAAAATGATGTTTTTCAAAATCTTAGTACCTTATATTGTATAACACGAAATGGTGGGTACTTTCCTTCCTGGTTTGAAGCCATTTAGATCATTTCGTGGCACAAACTTTCGTGGATATCCTATTTTAACAAATAGTAGATACATATATCTTTCAAATTTGTTTTATTTATTTTCGTGGTTAAACCATGAATGTTTATACACACGAACATTTCATATTATACAGTACATTTTCATGTGTAAATAAGAATTAGATTAGAATGCTACAATAATACAGGTATATGAAACATACAAAACTTTTTATCAACTTTACTGCTACTAACTTTAGAACACTGTTGTCTATCTTTTTAAATTAAAGATTTTTTTTTCGTAATATTGGGTTTTATTCTAACTTATGCATGAGTTTAAACAAGTAATGTACAATGTATGTCTTTTTCACCTCTATGACTGTGTGTATGATGTAATATTCATAATCACACCTTTATTTAGTGACAGCCTCAATGTTGTATTACGTGCGCTAGTGCATTCACACCTGAAATTGTATATAGCACACAAGTACTGAGGCAGGGGCTTATAGATGTATATGAGGGGAAAATATTTCCTGTGAGACAGTTCATCATTTCAGCTGTTGAATTATAAAATTTGCATGTAATATAAGCTAAGTTTGAATAAGAACTTTTACACTCCCATGTAGTTGAACAAATCAATAAATGGACACCATTACATTTTGTCTGTCTGATTGTTACAAGTTTTGTCATGTGCATGTATAAATATTTTAGACTGAATGTCAGATTTTTTGGTCAGCAGATTTTCTGTCGAGTGAAAGTGATTTCACCACACAATATCCTGTACCTACATTTGTATGTGTATATTACAATGTATGTTTATACCTGCAGTGTTGTTTATTTCAGGATACCCCTCGCCTTCCTGTATATTTACACCAGTGTTGTATATTTCAGGATACCCCCTCACCTACCTGTATATTTACACCAGTGTTGTATATTTCAGGCTACCCTTCACCTTCCTGTATGTTTATACCAGTGTTGTATATTTCAGGCTACCCGCTTGCCTTCCTGTATATTTACACCATTGTTGTATATTTCAGACTACCCTTCACCTTCCTGTATTTATACCAGTGTTGTATATTTCAGGCTACCCCTCGCCTTCTTGTATATTTACACCAGTGTTGTATATTTCCGGATACCCCCTCACCTACCTGTATATTTACACCAGTGTTGTATATTTCAGGCTACCCGCTTGCCTTCCTGTATATTTACACCAGTGTTGTATATTTCAGGCTACCCCTCACCTTCCTGTATATTTACACCAGTGTTGTATATTTCAGGCTACCCTTCACCTTCCTGTATGTTTATACCAGTGTTGTATATTTCAGGCTACCCGCTTGCCTTCTTGTATATTTACACCAGTGTTGTATATTTCAGGCTACCCGCTCACCTTCTTGTATATTTATACCAGTGTTGTGTATATTTCAGGCTACCCGCTCACCTTCCTGTATATTTATACCAGTGTTGTATATTTCAGACTACCCCCAGCCCTCACCTTCCCGTATGTTAATACCAGTGTTGTATATTTCAGGCTACCCCTCGCCTTCCTGTATATTTACACCAGTGTTGTGTATATTTCAGGCTACCCCTCTCCTTCCTGTATATTTACACCAGTGTTGTATATTTCAGGCTACCCCTCGCCTTCCTGTATATTTACACCAGTGTTGTATATTTCAGGCTACCCTTCACCTTTCTGTATGTTTATACCAGTGTTGTATATTTCAGGCTACCCGCTTGCCTTCCTGTATATTTACACCTGCAGTGTTGTATATTTCAAGCTACCCCCTCACCTTCCTGTATATTTACGTCAATGTTGTATATTTTAGGCTACCCGCTTGCCTTCCTGTACCGACGACAGGTCTATGGTCAGACAGCCACTACACAACATATATTCTTTATCATCACAGGCCTATGGATCGCCTGCTTCAACTTTGGTGAGTATATTGGTTCCATACGTCTCCAAGTTGCCCATGAATAACAAACATAGACGTACATTTAATGTGATCCTGCTGTAATTGTGTTGTGGTCTGTTGATCTGCTGGCTTCTGTTGTTTGCTTGTCATTAGTAATAATGCACTGTGCTATATTCTATACTCTCACTGTCCTATTCATGGATGTAACGGTCAGTTCATGCATGTAACAGTTTAATCCTGGGATCATTCAGTAGGGTTAGTGTTGAACCTCTCAATCTAGTTCTGGGTATCAGGCTAGGGTTAGTGTTGAACCTCTCACTCTAGCTCTGGGTATCAGGCTAGGGCTGGTGTTGAACCTCTCACTCTAGCTCTGGGTATCAGGCTAGGGTTAGCGTTGAACCTCTCACTCTAGTTCTGGGTATCAGGCTAGGGCTGGTGTTGAACCTCTCACTCTAGTTCTTGGTATAAGGCTTTGGCTGATGTTGAAACCCTCCCTCCAGTTCTGGGTATCAGGCTAGGGCTAGTATGGAACTCCTCACTCTAGCTCTGGATATCAGGCTAGATTTAGTGTTGAACCTCTCACTCTAGTGCTGGGTATCAGGCTAGGGTTATTGTTGACCCCCTCACTCTAGTTCTGCGTATCAGGCTAGGGTTAGTGTTGACCCTCTCACTGTAGTTCTTGGTATAAGGCTTTGGCTGATGTTGAACCCCTCATTCTAGTTCTGGGTATCAGGCTAGGGTTAGTGTTGAACCTCTCACTGTAGTTCTTGGTATAAGGCTTTGGCTGATGTTGAACCCCTCACTCTAGTTCTGGGTATCAGGCTAGGGCTAGTATTGAACTCCTCACTCTAGCTCTGGATATCAGGCTAGAGTTAGTGTTGAACCTCTCACTCTAGTTCTGGGTATCAGGCTAGGGTTAGTGTTGAACCTCTCACTCTAGTTCTGGGTATCAGGCTAGGGTTAGTGTTGAACCTCTCACTCTAGTTCTGGGTATCAGGCTAGGATTAGTGTTGAACCCTTCACTCTAGTTCTGGGTATCAGGCTAGAGTTAGTGTTGAACCTCTCACTCTAGTTCTAGGGATCAGGCTAGGGTTAGTGTTGAACCCCTCACTCTAGCTCTGGGTATCAGGCTAGGGTTAGTGTTGAACTCCTCACTCTAGTTCTGGGTATCAGGGTAGGGTTAGTGTTGAACCTCTCACTCTAGTTCTGGGTATCAGGCTAGGGTTAGTGCTGAACCTCTCTCTCTAGTTCTGGGTATAAGGCTAGGGTTAGTGTTGAACCCCTCACTCTAGCTCTGGGTATCAGGCTAGGGTTAGTGTTGAACCCCTCACTCTAGTTCTGGGTATCTGGCTAGAGTTAGTGTTGAACCTCTCACTCTTGTTCTGGGTATCAGGCTAGGGTTAGTGTTGAACACCTCACTCTAGCTCTGGGTATCAGGCTAGGGGTAGTGTTGAACCCCTCACTCTAGTTCTGGGTATCAGGCTAGAGTTAGTGTTTAACTCCTCACTCTAGTTCTGGGTATCAGGCTAGGGATAGTGTTGAACTCCTCACTCTAGTTCTGGGTATCAGGCTAGGGTTAGTGTTTAACTCCTCACACTAGTTCAGGGTATCAGGCTAGGGTTAGTGTTGAACTCCTCACTCTAGTTCTGGGTATCAGGCTAGGGTTAGTGTTTAACTCCTCACTCTAGTTCTGGGTATCAGGCTAGAGTTAGTGTTTAACTCCTCACTCTAGTTCTGGGTATTAGGCTAGGGCTGGTGTTGAACCTCTCACTCTAGTTCTGGGTATCAGGCTAGGGTTAGTGTTGAACCCTTCACTCTAGTTCTGGGTATCAGGCTAGGGCTGGTGTTGAACATCTCACTCTAGTTCTGGGTATCAGGCTAGGGTTAGTGTTGAACCCCTCACTCTATAACCTTAGGGTATTATAAATACATAATATGCTCAAATTTGTAGCCCCATGAAAAAGTCATGGAGGGGCATATAGTTTTGCCCATGTCCTGTCCTGTCCTGTCCTGTGATCAAAGTGTTTATAGAACATTTCACATGGTGACGGGGCATGCATGTATTACAGGCATTTTCTAGTTTTATATAACTTTTGTGCTGCAATTTAAATAAAAAGGATTACTATACAGATAAATAGGTAAACTTGGTTTTATTGGTTAACTTCACATTAACATAAAACACAGAAATGTAAAAATGTTGATTTCTGTGTAATACTTGTATCTCTACCTCTAAACGATGTCCGCGTCGAGAACTGTACGATAGTTCCACTTCATAACTTATGTTAATTGCTATTATATAATAGCTAAGTACAATAGCTATTATATATAGCTAAGTACAATAGCTATTATATATAGCTAAGTACTATATCAATTATATATAGCTAAGTACTATATCAATTAGATATAGCTAAGTACTATAGCTATTATATACAGCTAAGTACTATAGCTATTATATATAGCTAAGTACTATATCAATTAGATATAGCTAAGTACTATAGCCGTTATAGGTATAGCTAAGTACTATAGCCATTATATATATAGCTAAGTACAATAGCTATTATATATAGCTATGTACTATAGCTATTATTAGCTGATCACTTGTCCGGCATCTGGTAACCAAAAGGCCTAGGATGATGATATTTGGCCAGTAGCATGCTGGAATCAAGGGCTACCAAGTTTGTTCAAATAAATGACCTTGACCCACTTTCAAGGTCACCGGGGTCAAATATGTTAAAATCTTCAAACGACTTCTTCTCAATAACCAAAAGCCCCAGGGTACTGATATTGGGCCTGTAGCATGCTGGGATGAAGGGCTAACAAGTTTTTTTTAATGAATGACCTTGATTCACTTTCAAGGTCACAGGGGTCAAATGTCTTAAAATATTCAATCGACTTCTTCTCAATAACCAAAAGGCCCAGGGTACTGAAATTGAGCCTGTAGCATGCTGGGATGAAGGGCTAACAAGTTTTTTTTAATGAATGACCTTGATCCACTTTCAAGGTCACAGGGGTCAAATGTCTTAAAATATTCAATCGACTTCTTCACAATAACCAAAAGGCACAGGGTACTGAAATTGAGCCTCTAGCATGCTGGGATGAAGGGCTAACAAGTCTCTTTTAATGAATGACCTTGACCCACTTTCAAGGTCACCGGGGTCAAATATGTTAAAATCTTCAAACGACTTCTTCCCAATAACCAAAAGGCCCAGGGAACTGAAATTGAGCCTGTAGCATGCTAGGATGAAGGGCTAACAAGTCTCTTTTAATGAATGACCTTGACCCACTTTCAAGGTCACAGGGGTCATATGTTTAAATCTTTTAATAGGTTCTTATGAATCAAACACTAATATTCTGCCTGTAGTTGTATTTTAGCCCACTTTTTAGATTACAGGATTAATACCAGGTAAGTGATTCAGGCCCATTGAGCCTCTTGTATATAGCAAAGTACTATAGCTATTTTATATAGCTAAGTACTTTAGCTATTATATATAGCTGAGAACTATAGCTATTATATATAGCTAAGTACAATAGCTATTATATATAGCTAAGTACTATAGCTATTATATATAGCTAAGTACTATAGTTATCATATATAGCTAAGTACTATAACTTTTATATATAGCTAAGTACTATAGGTATATTTGGACCAGGTGAGCTTATGCCATACCGTGGCGTCCGTCGTCTGTATGTCAACAATTGCTTTAAACGACTTCTTCTTAACCACTGATTGGAATTTAACTGAATTTGTCTGGAAGCATCCCTAGGTGGTGGGGATTTAAAATTGTACAAATAGTTGGGCTGACCCCCCAGGGGGCTGAGGGGCGGGGCCAAAAGGGGGCAATTAGGCTATGTTGCTTTAAGCGACTTCTCCTCTGGAACTGAGTGATGGATATCAACCATATTTGACTGGCAGCATCCCTAGGTGGTGGGGATTCAAAATTGTACTAATGGTGGGTCTGACCCCTCGGGGGGCCTGAGGGGCGGGGCTAAAAGGGGGGCAATTTGGCTATATTGCTTTAATCGACTTCTTCTCTGGAACTAAGGAATGGATATCAACCATATTGGACTGAAAGTATTCCTAGGTGGTGGGGATTCAAAATTGTACAAATGGTGGGGCTGACCCCTCAGGGGGCTGAGGGGTGGGGCCAAAAGGGGGCAAATTGGCTATATTGCTTTAATCGACTTCTTCTCTGGAACTATGTAATGGATATCAACCATATTGGACTGAAAGTATCCCTAGGTGGTGGGGATTCAAAATTGTACAAATGGTGGGGCTGACCCTCCAGGGGGCTGAGGGGTGGAGCCAAAAGGGGGCAAATTGGCTATATTCCTACTGACTTCTTCTCTGGAACTATGTAATGGATATCAAACATATTACACTGGAAGTATCCCTAGGTGGTTGGGATTCAAAATTGTACAAATGTTGGGGCTGACCCCCAAGGGGGCTGAGGGGCGGGGCCAAAAGGGGGCAATTTGGCTATATTGCTACAAAGAACTTCTTCTGTAGAACTATGCACTGGATATCAACCATATTTGGTCAAAAGCATTCATGGGAGGTATAGGTATTAAAAATTGTACAAATGGTGTGACTGACCCTCAGGGGGCTGAGGGGTGAGGCCAAATAGGGTTATTTGGCTATATTGCTTTCTGTGAATTCTTCTCTGGAACTGAATGCTGGATATCAACCATATTTGACTGGAAGCATCCCTAGATGGTGGTGATTCAAAATTGTACAAATGATGGGGCTGAGGGGCGGGGGGCCAAAAGGGGGCAATTTGGTTACATTGCTACAAATTACTTATTCTGTAGAACTATGCACTGGATATCAATCATATTTGATCAAAAGCATTCATGGGAGGCAGGGGTTTAAAATTGTACACTGGTGGCGCTTAACCCCCAGGGGGCTGAGGGGTGGGTGCCAAAAAAGGTTATTTGGCAATATTGCTTTAAGTGACTTCTTCTCTGGAACTAAGGGACAAATATCAACAATATTTGACTGAAAGCATCCTTAGGTGGTGGTGATTCAAAATTGTACAAATGGTGGGGCTGACCCTCCAGGGAGCGGGCTGAAGGGCGGGGCCAAAAGCAGGCAATTTGGCTATATTGCTTTAAGCGACTTCTTCTCTGGAACTAAGAGATGGATATCAACTATATTTGCCTGGAAGCATCCCTAGGTGGTGGGGATTCAAAATTGTACAAATGGTGGGGCTGACCCCCCAGGGGGCTGAGGGGTGGGGCCAAAAGTGGGCAATTTGGCTATATTGCTTTAAGCGTCTTCTTCTGTAGAACTGTGCCATGGATATTGACCATATTTGGTCGGAAGCATTCATGGGAGGCAGGGATTTAAAATTGGGCTATTAGGACTGGAGCCAAAAAAAGTTTATTACTTGGAAATGGTTGAGATCCCCATCGTATAACCATATATACCATTGCTGAGTATAAAGAGAAGAATGCACAGTTGCTTCCCGAGGGTCTGGCCCCACCCTTGGAGACATAGTCCCTGGGTCATAACTTTGAAACAGTTGAGAACCCATGCCCAAAACTATACATACAAATGCTGGGCATAAAGAGACGAATGCTGTCATGATATTAGAATAGACCCTGGGGTATGACCGAACCCCTAGGGACCTAGTTTCTTAGTCACATCTTGAGATCCCCACCCTATAAATATAACCATACATAAAATTGCTGGGCATGAAAAATCTAATACAGCTATGCTACAAGGATTGGCCTTGGGGTCTGGCATATTCCCTTGGATCTCATTTGGAGAATATTTTGCCAAGATTGCTTAGATATCCAGGTGAGTGTTACAGGCCCTCTGGGCCTCTTGTTATATATAGCTAAGTGCGTTACATTATATCTTGGTAGTCAATTAACAGTCGGCTAATTCCAAGATTCTTTCAACATCGTGGAAAAGCCATGGCATGTGGCGACACTAATGCTGTTCCTCTTCGATTCTGTATATAAAACCAACCATATATTTTATGTACGTGTTATGGACGGGTAGCCACATCGATATTAGAAAACAATCAATAACTTTATCAGGTGATTGTGATGTCATGATTTATATTTAGCTGGTCAAAGCGTACAGTTAGAGCAGTAATTGTCCTTTTTTTCTCAATCTAAAACACATTAAATATTCATTAATGTTATGCCATATTGGATATCCCGAGGCTGTTAAAACAGACTATCAATCAATGGAGAGAGGACAGAGTCGATGTAGGGAGAGGAG